ATTATTATCTGACTCTAACATATTTCATAAGATGTTGTAACTTATTTCGCAGGGTTCAATATCCATGTGTTTCAAACTCTTGCAAATTTTCCTACATTTCATTATTTTTGAAAACATGAGAGTAATTTTTTGTTTCCAGTGTTGTTTCAAAAAGAAATGTTTGATGCACTTTACATGACACATTAGTGAYATCTAGTGGAGGAAATATGTATTACAGTTTGTTTAATTGTTTCTACATCTTTCAAATGTCTTTTAAATTAGGTCTAAATTTTAAATGAGGTTAAAACGTGTTATTATTTCCATCATCATTGTGTCAACATGAATAAATTTAGCTTAAAATGATCCTTGGACTGTTTTCTGTCAGAAACAGCCTGAATCAAGAGCAACAATCACTCAGCCGTGTCTGAAACCAACAAAGACGACTGAGTGAAGAGGTCTTTTTTATTTTTATTTTTTACTTACGGAGTTCAGCTACTTTAGTCRTTTACAGTGTGAGTGTTTGCACCTGTGTGTGCTCTACCTGTGGGGCACGTGTGTTGTTTACTTGTGTGAACAGCTTTCTCTTTGTCCGAACCCATTCATTGTTCTTTGCTCTACAAGTGTGTGCATGACTGTGTGTCACCCTGCTTACCCCCCAGAGCAGGTGATGAGCAGGTGAAGGGCTTATTTAGACACAGATGTTATGTGTGTGTGTGTGTGTGTGTGTGTGTGCATGTGTGTGTTTGTGGGTGGGTGGGCACTTGCGTTACAAGGTATAATTCTGTTTACCTTGTCACACTGTTTCAACCCTCCTCCCTTTTAGAGACAAAGACCAACTCTACAGAGGAGCGTGTTCTGTAACATAACAAGAATTATTAAATTTTAGTTGTGTGCCATTTGTGAAGCGACTTATAGCATAAATGAGTGTGTGCTGTTTTGTGCTATTACCTGAATATGTTTACCATGTATGGATATGTGTTTGTGTGCTTACACCGGAAGAGGAATATCCAATTTCTTTACTATATCTGATAAAAAGAGTCAGCTAGATCTCTATCATAATACAAACACACACATTCACGTGCTCACACAAACACACAATGCATTTGTTTTTGTTTCTTTGGCCGTTCTAACCCAAAGATCAGAACTGTTCTTTGGTAAAAGTCCAAAACGTTTCAACTGTTGCTTCATTTATATTTATATTCTAGTTTTTGTAGATTTTATTTGCTTTCCTTTAAACTCTTCGCCTCGTAAATTATAATTTGGCTTATTACGACTGAATTATCCTCATATCACAGACCCCAAYGAACTCACAGAAGCTGACACTGACACACACACGTCGTCACACACTCTCCTCATTTCCTAGTGAAATACAGCTGGGGACAAGGATTTGCATGTGTGAGGGTCAGTGTCGTCCTGCACAGASCTGGTACTGTGTTCCTTTGAATCCTTATCTGGACATATAACAAGTCCATTCATATGTCTTTAAACAGGACAAATTTATCTGCTCTGTTTAGAACTTACAGAACAAGTGTTTGCTTTTTTACTGTAACTCTAAAAATATACTGTATAAAGTAAAAAATGAAGCAGAAGACTAGCTGAACATAAAATTGTAGCTAAAAACTTATAGTAGAAAAAGGCTAGATAAAAGCTTAAGGTAGCAGATTAGCTAAAAACTAAATAAAAAGTAGTTTTCGCTAAACTGGAGCAAATGCGAACAAGCATCAGAAATCTGAGCGTTCTATCAGAAATGAAGAACAAAAAAACACTTTCCTGCTGTTTCTCTCTTGCATCTAAAGAACAGAATAATAAACATAATGATCCTCTCCCTCTGCCCAGTGTTGTCTAAAGTACCTCAAAGTGATACTTGAGTAAAAGTACAAGTATCTTATAAAAATAATTTGGTAAAAGTTAAAATTCTTCTCTAAAAATATTACTTAAGTAAAAGTCTTAAAGCATCTGATATTTTTTGTACTTAAGNGTCTTAAAGCATCTGATATTTTTTGTACTTAAGCATCAAAAGTAAATTTCTGACACAAAATCTACTTGAGTATTAAAAGTAAAAGTACTGAGTAAAAGTGAGCCGTTAGTTTTTCCAAAATGACATTTATTGGGAGGTGACTTCTCCAAAAAATATTTTTTCTAATGGTGTGATGGGTTGTGAACACGTTAATAATGTGTCAGAATGGTATATATTTATACTTCTCATCCAACCACAATTAAATTCACTCTATCCAGGAGACACAACATATCAGGATAGTATTTTTTAAGTAATAACAACTTGGAATAAAATAGGAGCAACAACTTTCTTGCCTTTTTAAAAAAATCTAGTAGAAAGTACAGATAATTGTGTAAAAATGTAATGAGTAAAAGCAAGAAGTACACTGAAAAATAATTACTCAAGTAAAGTACAGATAACCAAAATTTCTACTTAAATACAGTAACAAAGTATTTGTACTTAGTTACTTTACAGCTCTGCCTCTGCTTTTACCCTACATTTCATTTAGCTGGAACTGTAGTAACTACATGCTGCCTCCTTTCCCATGAATTCTGTATGAAAGTCTTTCATTATCTGATTGTTCCTTTCAAAACGTTTAGAACAAGTTCTGCAGCTCAACACAATATCCATAATATGACGAGTGGTGATCAAATTTATTGCTTCACTATTTTTTGGTTTGTCTGAAGCAACTACGTTATCACTTTTGCGTTTTGAGTGTCAGTCAGTTCTATTTGAGTATGCACCTGTACGCACGCACACACACATGAATGTTTGTATATCCACACAYAAGCGCGCTGACATGCAGATTGCCCTGAATAAATGCCCTCCTTCAGGTGGAACGTTACCATGGACACTAATCCAGGTAGGGATGATGTGAGCAGGACATCTGCTCGTGCCGCCTCCACTTCTCTCCGCTGTTCCCTGACCAGACATTTGACCAGCCGGACACGAAAAACACGGAGAAACCTTATAATGACTTTTTTCTGTAGCCTTCATGAGTCATCGCCGCTGGTAAACAGGAAGACGGACGGTATTAAACTGTGACGACAGGCCCTCACGCTGCACTGTCTGCCTCTGTGGCTTTGTGAGAACATTTTAGGCCGATAATGTTAAAAGTATGAATGTTTTAATAAATGAACATTTAAATTTGGACTTTGATCCAGTGTTGCTCAGTGAAAAACCAGGGACGAAAAAAGGTGAGGAGGAGCCACCTGGCAGAGGAAACAGGCCTCAGGCATTCGCACGTCTTCATTATCAGTAACTGTCAGAGGAAACAGCACACGGTTAGCCCCCCCACTCCCCTCCATCATGGACAGATACTACCAAAGAATCAGGCAGACCCCACAAATGCAATCATGTCTCTG